AGGTGTCCCCATGGACTCTGAAGCTAGGTGAGCCTACGATTTAAAATATCAATGTGGAAACCTAAGGAGGAAATGGAGGTAATGAGGTCCATGAAAGAGCAGGGAAACAACCCTCGCAGTTCTGCTGTGTACTGACAAAAGGCTTATTTATTAAATCTGAAAACCATATAAAGGCAGATGAAGAGTCTCCGTTTTTGGAAATCAGAAGACCAGATAAAATAGGCCACAATAATCCAAGCGAGTGATCGTTAGATCCTGGACTGACACTGTCGATGAGATGTAAAAGAAAGGGGTAAGCTTAGGCATTGGGAAGAAAATAATCAAACAAAATAACAACATCAACAAAATTCAACACCACAGAAGGAGGATTCAGAAACAGTAAAGGATAAAAAGGAATTAAATATTGTTTGAAGGTTTTGCTGCTCGGACGGAGAAATTACAGCTAAAGCAAGACCAAGTGAGAGTATATAGCAAATCCTAGAAAAAAGAACCAAACATCCTTATGGCATGTTTTTTGTTCTGTCTCTGGAATGAAGAAGAAAAATTAAGGTCGTTTATTTGCACTTTGATTCCATTTTATTTCCAAGATCACAAAGTATGTGTTTGTTAAAGTTATATAAAGCTAAAACCACTTTTGTGTACCCTAGCCCCACCCCACACCAGAATTCTTTGAGGTCATTTCACTTGGCATCGTCTAGGGAGACACTACAGAGAGAAACTGCTGTCTGCGTGGTAACCAAAGGCACATACTCTGTATTACCGAACTGTGGACTGAATCTTGACTGTGGTTATGTTCTTCAAGTGAATAGAGCAGAAACAGAAATGAATCATTTGTCTTTAGAAATTATCATTCTGACTTTGCTTTTGGAGACACTGGCATGTGTACTGTGGCTGGAACAATCCTGCTCTGATTTGTCATCAAACACTTGGTATTGGACTTGGAAAGGGAAGAAAAATATTGTGTGATTTAAATAAGCTTTCCATTTGAAAAAAGAAAAGCCTATGTGTATAGCTATCTTTTCTAATTATTACCAGTAGGCATTTCTCTCCCAAGATAATATGCTGTAATTTTTTGACCTTGGAACTGCTCAGTATTTGCTTCAATGTCCACAAAACATAGTTTGATTTAATTTCCTAAATCTTAGAAAATGTAACAGGAGTTTCAGTCTTATTTTTCTCATAGCTGGAAATTCTGGAAGAGGAAGTCATCGAAGGGGGAAGCACCTCATTTCAAAGTTATAATGAAGGCAGAACTTTGAGAAGGGACCTGTTTAAGGTCACGGGGTTAGGTAGTGACAGCAAGAAAAATCTCAAATCTATCCATATCCAGACTGAGCCTCCTTTAACTATGCTGTGTTGTCTCTTCCCAGTGTAGGAGATTCTAAAGTGTAGAAAACTAATTGCACATATACTTGCCATCCACCAATAAATCAGATCTCGTTTGATCTCTTGTAATGTGCCCGCGCATCTATCATAAAAGCATTATTAAAAAATAAAATGTAAGCACTCTGGTAGTGACTGACAGGGCTTAAATAGGAGTTGAGGTTTTTAAACGACAGTAATTATTTAAGGAAAACAACATCTTTTTTTTTTTCCTGATTTCCACAGATAACAACAAGAAAATGATGAATCTGACTCTATCTTATTCCATGTTTCCTTACTAAAGAACCAGCTATCCTAGGACCAGGGCAAAGTGCTCAGAAAGATTCTCAAACGTGAATGTGATAGAAGAACAGAAATGAAAAATGGAAGCGGAAGGGAAAGGGGGTGGCACAGCCACTGGCTGAGTTTGCTGTGGTCTGGGTTGGCACTCAGGCACAGATGGTCATCTGGTCCAGTGTATCTTCGTTTCCCCTGTCCTAAAAGCTCTCTCCCTTGTTCTGGTCCCTGCCCATCTCTCTTCCCCGCATCTCATTCAAACCTTTTGAAAATTCCATCTACATGCACTTTGCACATTTCCTCACCTCCATTTTACAATTCCCAGAATACGGCACTTCACAGCTTCGCTGCTGGTTCTTGAATTGCTAAATCCAGTGGGTTTGGGGGGTGTTTCCTGGATCTCTCTGCACATTTGGCCCCATTGATCACTCTCTTCTTCTTCAAGTTCTCTGCCCTCTGGCTTCCACTCACCAGATCATCATCTAATCATTCCTTCTCTGTCCCTTTTAGGGCCTTCTCTTCTTCCTCCTCCCCAAAGTTCACCCTCATCGCAATGCTCCTGTTACCCCCAACACTCTCCTTCCATACTCTCATCCACTGTCATGATTTACTCATAAACTTTATATGTAGAACAAATCCCCTTCCCACAATTCAGACTTGAACAACCTGCCATTTCCACCGAGCCCCTTCAACCCAACGTGTGTTAACCAACCTCCTCATTGTTCCTCTTAACCTGATCTCCATCTATGTTCTCCGTATTGTTTTGTGGAACCACTGTCCACTCATTCACTCGAACTAGAAACCCAAAGGTCATTTTTTAGCTTCTCTTTTCCCACTTTTGTTGTTTTCCACATCAATCCCGTTATAGAATCCGCTACTCTTTCATCCTAAATATTTCTTGAGCCCACCAAAATGCCAATCTTATTACCACTGTTATAGTTCAGAACTGCCAGTTACTGCACTTTATCTCTTATTTGGGCATCTGTACCATTAAAATGATCTTTCTTCTACCAACCTATCGTCATCGAATATCCCGCACATACAACACAAAGCAAACCTGCCTTGTAAGCTTAAAACTGTCTCATGTTTTCCCGCCCTGCTGGATAAAATCCAAAATAGTCCCAACTTAAGTTGTAGCTTTAGATGTGCTACTTCCTGCCTTTCTCTGATCTTATCTCTAACAATTTCCTGTTTTAAACTGTGCTTTTCAGCAACACACAACAGCTAGGAATTCTACATATGAACCATATCATTTCTTTGCTTTTACATCTTCTTTGTCTCTAAGTCACTTCTCACTTCCTTTTCTGGCTCACTCCTAATCTTCCTTCCTCAGTCAACACAAGAATGTCACCTCCTTTAAGAGCCTTTCCTTTATATGTCTTGTCATCCTCTATCTCAGCTATTCATATCAAACCCTGTGCATATTCCTGTCATTGTATTAACTATATCATCTTCTGATTTGTATTTTTGTGAGCTTTACAGCTCATTGACAGCTGTTAGCCACTCGTTAGCAACTTAATTCCTTCAACTAAATTCAGATGTTCTTGGATAAGAATTTGGTACAGAATTGAAAAAATCTTTGTCAGTTCCATTGCTGATAATTGACTCAGGAAACTGTTCATTTAAGCATGTATCTGTCTGTCTCTCTGTCTGTCTTCTGTCTATCTATCTATCTACCTGATTAATCTCTACATACTTTGCCTTTGGCTTTAATTTTACCCTTCATTCCTTCTGAACAGCAACTGAGTCACAAATATACAAGTATATAATTTGTGTATATAAGTACACAAATATAAAATATAGGGGTAACTATATTTTACTCCTAAAAGAAGCTGAAATTCAAAAAAGACTGTTATTGGCTTGTACAAAACACCACAATTAGTTTAGAAGTATCACAAGAATCTATCATCTCAATTTCCAGATCAATCCTCTTACTATTTCATGACACTGCTTCTCTGTGGTTTTTAAACATTTAAAGATGTAGTTTATATGATGCATTCAGTCACATGACTAAAACATGCGTTTTTCAGGGTGGTCAATTCTTAAGTCAGAGAAAAGATTTTAAAGCTTTATTTATCCACATTTCATATATATATAGTTTTTATACCAAGAAGTAGCACACTGAGGTTTGTTGTCCCCAAAACACTACAAATGCTATTTTCTCAGAAAGAAGAGTGAGGTTTATTTTTTGTTCATGAGATGCCAAACAAGCCCAGCCAACTTGCCGGGCATAATTAATTTGGAGCATCTTTGGCAGTAGGCTGTGTAGTATCTCCATCCATGCAAATATTTTGCAAAAATTGAGCTTAAGCAATTTTTTTTTTTTTTTTTTTTGCCTAATTCTTTTCAGGATAAAGTTGGGAACTTGGGAATTGAGGCAGTTCTCAATATATTATAAACAGTTCCAAAGACTGGATAAATAAGCTTCATTATTATCCAAATCATTCAGCTTAAACCTTTCTTTCTATCTCCACCACACTCACCAAAACTTCGGTACTTGGCTCACGTGGGTGTGAATGAAATGGCAAAGTTCAGATTTAAAGACATTGCTTGTACCGTCACTCCATTCCTAATTTATATTCCTGCTACCTATGTTTTACCATACTATTTCTTCACTGTCTCTTTTTTGTTCTTTCTAGTATCAGAGAGGGAGCAAACACACACTCCTTAAGAAATCACTATTAGAATGTCCTACAGAAATAGATTCCCAAAAAGAACATACCAAAGGGGGAAATGGATACATAGGTTCATTCCATTTTTTAAATACACCGTCCAATTTTAATCAATATATCCTCTAATTGTGTCTACTTCTGTTGTAGCGCAGAAGCAGTTTAGATAGGACATAAACAGATGACTGTGTTCCAGTGGAACTTTATTTATGCAAACAGTCAGCAGGCTGGATTGGGCCCACTGGTCATAGTTTGCCAACTCTCCATTTGACTCATTACTCCTCCAGCAGCTCTTTTATTTTGACTTTTAAAGTCATGGACGTAAATAGTAATGATTCTAGAATGAGTAAAATTTCAGGTGATATCAAAGACAAACATGAATTCTTCAAAAGTTAGAAAAGATTGATAATTTTAAGATCTTTTTAATATTTAAAGTTACTGCTTGTACAATTTTAAGTTTCTTAGGGGGAGTGAGTAGATGATAATTCATCTTATGGTCTTACCCTGACGAAGGTGCAGGCCTGGGTTATGGCAGAGGCATATTTTTAAACAAACATATGCATGATTAGGACCCTGCATGTCAACAAATAAGTTAATTTGATCATACTGTAGACAAAATAGCAGACCCAATTTTTAAGACTCTTAGTTCTCTGTGTTCTGTTATTTCAAAGGATCCCAGATCAGCTGCTGTGATACGGGATAAAGATAGGTGCCCTGGGCAGTGGAGAAAGCGGTGTGCTTCCACGTGAGCCCCTGTTCTGAAATCACTGGTCGTGAGGGTTTTATATGGTAAGCAAGTATGGATGGGTTTTTAATATGTAGGGTGTGATTTTTGTCTCTAGTGCTTTAAATCTATCCTGTTAGAAACAGGAGGACAACCCTTTTAGCTGTGAATGTGGGCTGAGGGGAATGATGAATTTACTACTATTTTTTGACTCCTTAGATTTGAGGTTATCGTGGGCATCGTCTCCTGGGTGAAGCTTTGGAAGTGCTTGAGACGGGTAAGTGGCCATATGCCAGAAAAGGTGCTCTCGAAGTCACTTTAAAATATCTATTCTGCAGAACTCTGTGACCAGCATAGATAGCAGTAGGCTCGATTATAAAAGACCTGTAATTGCCTTCAACAGTCCCCGAGTATCAGTGTCGTAACTTAATATTTCTTGTTTCTTTTAAAATTAATTAGAAAAGTAGTAGTAATCATACTGAAATTTCAAGAGTTAAAAGGAACTCCTTCTCTTCCTCCTGCCCCTCCCTCCCCAATTCTACTTCCCTCCCCACATAGAACCATTAATAGATTGACCCTTGTCTTTTTATATTTTCTCTACACACACACTTGTCTGTGTGTGAGAAACCTAACTGGGACTATATACATATATAGATATATATATCTATATATCTATATCTATATCTATATAGTCTCTCTATATATACATATATATGTGTGTGTGTATGTATATAAGAGAGATCCTTCCATGCTAGCAAATGTAAATCTCACTCATTCATTTAAAGTACTAATTATATAATCACTTTATACTTTTCTCCTCTTCCCCCTTTAAGCACTCTGTTGTACTTATAACAATACATCATCCAAGGATGCTTCTATTAGTTAATTAAAGAGACAATTAAGGAGACAGATATTCATTTCCCATGATGGGGAAATGAAGATCTACTTTTATTAATCTAAGTTTACTTTTAGTTGGTTGACGGATGATTGTTGATAGCCTTACAGAGTTTTACAGCACTCTGCCAAATGTATCCTTGGTTCTTATTGTGGCATAATTTTTGTATAACTGTGTATTCATAATTATAAAACCTTAAGGGCCCGTGCATGCACCTGCACATATACAGATTTATTTATTTCAGAGACAATTTAGATGACGAAGCTCAGAGTAGAGATCATTATAACATGTGTCTGCCTTTTGTGACAATGGCATCCTAACAGGTACAATGTTCAGACGTTGACCTTTCCGAATATTCTACCATTCTACAGTAATTGTGACATGCTTTTAGCCATATTAACGAAGAGCATTTTAACTTTCTATGTGCAGAAAACTCGGTACTTTACTATTCAGAGTCAGTTATTTTAAAAATTTCCAAATTCACTCTCAGCTCTAGTCTCTGCAAGATTTTCCCATCTATCCCAACTGTGTCAAACTGTGACAAAAACAGAATAAAACAAGAATAGACTATACATGTCACTCATGTTGGCTGGGAGATAAGCTGAGAAAGCAAGAATTGGATGATGGAGGGATAAATGTACCATCGTTTGAAAAAACAACGCTTTCTTCTCAAGCTGTATGTAACTCATCCATTGTGAACTAAGTAAGACTATTGCTAGTAATAATTATAATAACACCTTAAATTTATATAGTGCCATATAAGTTACAAAGTCTTCCTCAAATTTTAAATTATTTCATTTTTTTGACAGTCCCATCAATTAGTTAGGGCAGAGCTTATGATATTCTCCCCATTTCCCACCTCTGCAGTTACGTCCTGCTGTTCTTTCCAAATCTGGTATATCAGATGTAGAGAAGTAGAGAATTCCCAGCCTTGAGTGCCACCAAAAAGTCCTTATGTTTGGGCATCGTACTTGGTGACATGTCAGAATGTGGAAATTGCTGCTGTAGCTAACATCTCCTCAGAGAGAATACAAATCACTAAAAAGCGCAGGTCAGATAACTTAGAATTATTGAGGTGATGCCACTTTTTTGAAATAGAGATGTGTGGCAGTATTAAAAATAGATAGCATGGATTAATTTCTAAAATTTATTCTCAGTTATATCATGGAGTCATTTGGACTTCATCCATTTCTCTAGTAAATTAGCCATTGATAATTGTAATTATGACCCTTAGGTGCAATACGACAATGAAATGACTCCTGAATTATTAAGAAGTGTTCATTTATGTCTATTCTGTATGTAGTTTTGAGTATTTTACTGCATTATCATTCCTTGGAAATCGGTCACCTGTATATGATATATACATGAGATTAAATTTCGGTAACGGTAATATTTCTTTAGGAAAAAGTCCTGTTCTAAGTGCTGAATAAACTGATTATATTTTACATGGATTTTTTTTCTCCTAGATTTCTGTTTGGCGTCCATGGTCTTATTTGTTCATTAGCTATAGGTCATTATTTGAGAAAAATAAGGCTGAGCATTTATATGATGCTTTATTATGAATCAATGTTTCATTGTCATATATATTGTTCAATTTATTATGTAAACCTCAAAAGACATTATTGCTAGTGTTTTAGAAAATAAGACTCGGGGAGCTATAAGTGGTTTGCTCATGGCTAAGATGTGATAGAGAAGAAACCCAATTCCATCTGTCCACGTCAAGAACTTTTTCCATCAAGCCACAGTCATCTCAGAAACTCGTCTCCCAGAATTTGTGTCAGGTTTCCGCTGGCCATGGGCCTCTTCACTGATAAGCCCATCTGGTGGAGTTTCTTTCCAGACCTCACAGAGGAGCAAATATCAACCAATGAATCAGATTCAGAGAATGTGTTGTAATCCTGATTATCAATGAAAATGGATAAAGTCCCTAATATTAGATTGCATTCCATCCCCCTGGAGAGGGGCATAGAATGCATCATTTTGTAGAGAGACGACTATATTTATCCTACAATACAGCCAAGACTGTATTAGAGCAGGAACCTTTGTAATAGTTTTTTACCATATATGAGAATAATAAGCTTTGAAAAGAGATGTAGGTGTGGGCATTCTCCATTTACCTTGGATACAAAACAGATTTTCTGCCTTTGATGAAAAGGCCAGGCAGTGCCCATTCTAAGGAGAAAGTGTGAAATAAGAGAGAGCTCTGAAGACAAGGTTTTATCATCACCTCTTGCTTTTTTTTTTTTATTCCATTCTAATCAGAAACCTGTTTTTAAGCAAGCTGCCCTGAAATTAATAAGTGACATAGAAAAGTTACTGCCTTGAATATGCTCATATGAAAAGGGGCACGAAAAGGTGAGAGACACCTCTGAAGGAAAAGGGCCTTTGCCATTAATAATTATCTGTAAGGAGTGAATAGTGCCTGGGAAGTCGGGCTAGAGTCACAGGAATAGAAATCAAAGACATTAAGACAGGCCTCTGCTTTCACGTGAGGTATTGCTGAAGCTGAATGCTAATCTCCAGCTAGAATAAAGCTGACAACAAAGCCATCCTGTATTCATCCATTCTGGAATATTCAAGAGAAATGTCTTCTGTATTTATTAAGCCCCTTATAATTATTTCTGGCATGCCAAAAACATGGGAGATAGAGAGAATAGTAGAAGATTGAGGGGAATGTTGTTGTTGTTGTTTTTTAATTCGATGTCAAGTCTTCAAAGAATTGAATGAGTGGCCCCAGGAATAATCATGCTTTAAGTATGACACTGCTGTTTAATAAACCAACAGAGAAAATATTGAAAGGAATTCAGTCAACATTCTGGGACTAGTGTAATTTTGAACAATCAAGCATAATGGCGAGATCAAGCCTGAAGTCATTCTGCACGATTTGTAATGCTGTGAAATTATAAAAAAGGGAATGAGAAATATGTGATGGTGGCATGGAGGTAAGGATGTGGGAAGCTTGAATTCCACTTCTATCCCCTCTGACCTTACTGATAATGCAAATCATTTTATTATGTCAAAATAGCTGAGGTGAAATAACCTAGTTTTCCTAAGAAAGGAATTTCCAGTTTCATCACAGAAAAGGATACGTTTTGCATTTGGAATGTCTGAGAGTATCTGAAGTGTTGTCGCATTAAAATTCATCATCAGAATTAATTCACATTCATTTCATTAAGAACCGAGTCACCTGGGTTGAATTTGTGTGGGGAATCATAAAAAAGGATAATGAGAAATGACAGCAGGTCTGCAGAGTGGCCAGTGAGGACTACTCATAGATCTAATCTTTTTTCTTTTTTCTTAACTTTCCATTTGGTGTTTGGAGATTATTTGGTGTTGGGGAATCAAGGTCATTTGTTGGCACTTGTGCATGATGTGAAATAAGTAGAATCCTTTTTAAAATTACTGAGTTTAAAGGATTTAAACAGCCCTAAATGAGACCTAAACATGGGGCAATGAGAAAAATAAGGCTGCCACAAGAAAATAACAATGTTGCTGGTCAAAGACGATTTTGTGCCTGGCACTGTGCTCAATTGACTTAATGATATTCACAGATAAAAAGCCTGAGCATGGAATAACTTTCCCACAAAGTTGCTGAAATGATACGTTTCTTTTGTTACAATGGCTCATCATCAAATAATAAAACCAGATACTCCGTCTGGCTCCTCATCTTTGGTGTTCTCCATACTTCTTGGTTGCAAAATGCCAAGTACATCATCTCTTCTTGCCTCTATCATCTGGGTAGATAATTCCCAATTGAAGATGTTGACATCTCTTACCAGAAGAAATCTTGTGTGTTTCCTGGCCCTTTTATTTTCCTTCTAATAATTGAATTGCTCTCAGGAGATTTATTTCTTCTCTAACTCTTCAACTACCTTCTTCTACCTCCAGGAGTTCTAATACTAGAACGGCCCCTCACTCAATGATCCTCAAGGCAGATGAGTATTTCTGGGACACACTGTGCTCATCTAGAGGAGTGGAGGCTGATTATTGCTAAAATCTCATTTCAGAATGAAAGTCTGCTTATTTGTGTGTTTATGAGTGTGTGCCTTCTGAATGTTGACGGCGGTGAGCTTTCACAGGTACAGATGTAGGACTAAAATCTAAACCTTGTGTGCTTTGCCTTATCAGTCCACTTTCTGTCTATTCTCTTTATACCAGATGAGGCTAGACACTGACCCTTTTATTCAAAATTTTAATTCATGATTAAGGTGCTACTTTGTACGTCAATACTTCCTTCTCCTCAGGATTGCCAAAGAATAGCCATCTCCGAGGCACTGGGACCAGCAATTGGTTCTTAAGTCCTGTGGCACCTGGACCACAAAAAGGCAGTTTAGTATATCCTGGAAATATCCAGGCAAAAGTGTGAGCTTTACCTCGAATGGCTTCTCCGAGGTTCTCCTGACAGGTCTCCAGGCTCTTCGCTTTCTCCTTGTGGAGTGTCCTTTTTAGAACTAAAAGGTAAAAAGGTTTCAATTTGTTCTTTTCTCTTCGTATAACGCTTACCAATAGCACAGTGCAAGTGGGCATTCGGCGAGTCATTTTCTTTTAGTACTTGCATTACTTTCTCCTTACGATGGAAATTTCTATTTCAGGTTCCTAAGCAGCCATTTCTAAGTCACTCATGTGGCCTCAAAGAGTTGAGACTTAAGCGTAAGCCAAAGCTTTTAGAAAATAAAGAGAAGGGAGCAAAGAAAGGAACAGACAAGCTGAACGCATGGACAGTTTTACAACAGTTGAATTGCACAATCGTTAAGATTGCATCCCGGCTGTCCAGGTCAATTTCACTGCAGTAACTGTTGAGAAATCTGGATTATGATATTTAAAGAGAACAATTAAGCAAGGGATTATTTTGTGTTACTTAAAACCTACCCTTATAGAAAAATCTACTCCTGGCTCTTGAGATGGCTGTCTGACAACATTGTCAGCTCTGATGACTTTTTCGGTTATTCTCACATATTCTTTGATTTGCCTGTGCTCTCACAAAATAAATGCGATTATATGTGGAGATATGTCACAGTGAATTGTTCAAGTCAAACTTTCCCTGGGCTGAAAGGATTTCCTGTGACCACAACCGATTTTCCTAAAATCTATGTTAATATTTTCACACACAAATGGCAAAACTTTGATTGTTAGTGTTTAGTTGCAGCTGGAGGCTAGTCTTACACACACTAAATGTAATACTAACAACAGCATATATTTATTGAATGCTTGCTATGTGCCATGCACTGGGTTCAGCATTTTAAATGGATTTGTTTATTTGATCCTCATAACCCTAAGTGGTAGTATGATTCTTCTTCCCATTGTATAGATGAGGAAACCGACTCATAGAAAGATTAAAATAACTGTCCTAACTTGTAAAAGGCGGTGTCAGGATTTAACCTCTGGTGGCCTGATTCTCTGAGTTGACAATTAGGAACATGCTCCACTCAGAGGCCCTATTTAATCATTTTTATTCTTGCAGTTCTGATCTTATTTGATGTTTTCCACGTTCAGTGAATATCTTCCAGAACTGAAGTTTTAAACGAGTAAATAGTATCTTGAAATGATCGTCAGTGAGACGCAGTTTGGCTTCTGAGTGCATCTAACTGCCTGTTTTCTAATCCTAGCTCTACCACTTCCTAACCATGTGATCTGAGGCAAGTTCCTGGCTGCCTCTATGACTCTGTTTTCTTATCTGTAAAAGAGAAATAGTAGTACTTACCTTATAGGGTTGGCATAGAGATTAAATGAGTTCATGCATATAAAGCATTTAGGACAGCTCCTGGCACATTGTAAGGACCATAAGGGTATGGACCATAAAAGTGTTCCCTGAATCATCACCATCATCACCATCATCTTGAGATACTCAAACATTATGTGGCAAACATAGGCAGTGGTTTTATATTTCGACATTCTTAGAGCTTCATATAGGAAGAGAAAATAATAGATTTCTTTTAGACCGACTTTGCTAAATAAAGCAATTCTCAGATCACCTAGATTTATTTTGATTTAAGAATTTGAGTGGTAATTTATAAGTTATTCAACTGATGTGCTGCCCTGACTCAGTCTGAAGGTGGAATTTTGCTCCCAGCAAAAGAAGATTTAGTATCTAAATTGAACAGTTATTAAATAGAAACAGACTGACCACTACCCGGAAAATCTGAAGATGAGAGTGGCAAAGAATGAGAGATAACCCTGCCTGCAAAGTCCAAGTGATTAGGGAAACTGGGGTTTGGAGTTTGACGTAGCAAATTTATTTTAGAGTGATATTGGTGAAGTGTAGTTCGTAATGCACAGTTCTGATAGATTCTGACACATTTAAATATTCACCCCATCTTTCTGCAAAGAGTTGGAATGGACACTCTCTGACATCCTCTGAGGGTATCCATTGGGGTGAAAGAGGCTTTCTTCCTTCAAGGCAATTTTGTCCAACTCTGCCAGCTCAGGATGAGGGAAGCCTGGCAAAGTTCCAGAGGTGATTAATGTTGTATCTATTATTTCACAGGGTTGAGTGTGTTTGGGTGGAAGAAGGGAGAAGCCTATAATTTCATAGCTGTTAGTAAAACATTTCTGCTAAACCTCTTTTTATTCTAAAATTTGGTGAAAGGATCTCAACATTCAAGATGATTTGAGGGCATTGTACTGTCCCCAGAATAGAATGCACCCACAGTTGTTACTACATCTTGATGGTGCAAGTGGGAAGAATGTAAATATTTTCTCCAAAATATTGATTGTCATTTTACCTAATTTTTGTGTGAGATCGAAATCATCTTTTCAAATATTTGAACTCAGAGATTTTTTTTTCTTCCATAAATATAAAATCAGTTATAAGCTTAACTTAGACCAGTTAGGAAAGAGTATTGCATTTTAAAATTATGCCACCACTGTCTTGTTTAGAAAGAACATGACTGGGCTTAAACCAAATGTTTGAGTTGCCAACTATTTTAATACCCATATTCATTGTTGCCTGTAAAGCGTAAGCATTCTTGTTGTTTTTATAGGTTCTTTGAATTACCTTCTAAATGACTACCACATAAATAAATTAGAACGACAGTCATGCCATGCTTTTTTGTCGCCGTGGGTCATTTTCATCAAATGCCTCATTATTTCATTGCACTTGTGTAATTAGGTGAAGATGCTCCACCAGAACATCCATGGGTCAGCTATGTGGACTCTAGCTGCCAAAGGCGCTTCTCCTTCTGAACAGAGCGCTTTGCTCAGCCAGTGTAGACATGGCCTGATAAACAATGGAACATCTCCCTTGAGGGCTGGAGTTTGGATAGATCTAAATCTTTAACTTAAAAATGTGCGCACGTTTGATGAGTGGTTAAATGCCTGCATTTTAGTAAAACGGGAGTTTAAATTGACAGTAATGTGAAGAATAGCATAATTTATAATGAACTTGAAAGGCAGTAGCACTCACTGTTGCACAAGCTAATCAAGGGACGATCAAATCAAAGTTTTAACATGAGCTTAACTATCTGTGGCAGGGAGGTGGTTCTTGCAGGTTTCTATCTGTCAGGTCTTAACACTAAACCTGTCAGCATGCAACATGGCCTTGTCACTGTTAACCAAGATGTCACATATATTATGGGAAACAACCAGCTTTGTGTTTTCTTCTCTGGGATTTTACTAGGAAAAGCAAATGTAAAAGAAATGCTTTTAACGCTGCATTTTTATTTTGCAGATTCTCAGGCTGATGGAGTGAGTGACGGCATGAGTTGCCAACTATAGTTATTCCGCTCAGTACAGAATGCCTGTGGGGAATAGAATCAGGCATGCCCAAAACAATCTTCCCAGGGCGAAACAAATACCTTTGAGGTTTAAATCAGGTGTGTGAAGATTGCTAGAAATATGACTTTTTTTTTTTTTTTTGCATTTATATTTATCAAGGAAAGTGGGAAGTTTGGTGGCTTTTGCCAACTCTGTTCTCCCAATTCTTTGAATGCTATAAAATACACCCAAGATGTTAACCTACCCTTTCTCCTAGGATTTGCTATCCTCTACTCCACTGCCTCGAAGAGTCCTCCAAAACTTTAGACTTTAAAGGCATGATCATGTTTTTTCATAGTCAAAAACAGTTTTATTTTGGAGATATTTTAAAATTGGGAATTGAAGTTTGATAGGCTTTATTTACCATTTGTCAATTTCCTTAGAAAAATAAGTGCTATTTATGATAAATGAGTTAGCTGCAAGATCCCGAAGAAAACTATATTCAAATAATCTTTAAAAATATATATTCACCTTACCTTTTAAAAGTGGTTAGATGGCTCAGAAAAATTAAGCAAAGATATCTTTTTTTTAGAAAATGTAAATCACATTTCCTTACAGGATGACGTTGTGCTTAATAGCCTCTGTTTAATTCATTCAGAAACTACACGATTTTTGTTGCCATATTTTGTTAGAAAGGAAGGAGAGGCTGTTTCTACAGGTGTCATAGAAAAATCAATACTGAGCCACGGCTTATTGCCTCCCATAGAACCATGGACTTGGCAGTGAAATTCTTCCAAAGGTGAGTAGGGGCATTGATTTTCCTTCTTGTGCCTGAAGAAATATGACACAAGGAATGGAGGCTAAATTTAGACTTGGAAACAAGTCTGATTTGAAACTATGCCTTCAAAAAACTAGTGACAATTTTTTTCAAGCAAATAAATGAGGGAACTGAGAATTTGAGCATATAAATTTTCTTATATATTTCTCTTAGATTTACTTCTTTATTCCTTTGGTACACTTTTGAAAAAAAAAATGGACTATTTGAGCAACATTTTATATGTAATTTAGATCTAGTGATTTCCGTGTGGAATACTTGCATTATACAATATAAAACAGTTTCTTAAACTTTTAACCAAGAATGCAGTAGTCCTCCAGCTTTTAAAAAACACCATATTATTTACACAATCATACTTAAAAATATGGGCCCGTCTCTAATTTTCCTTATTTAAACAGTATATGTTTCCAGCTAATTTGTGCCAGAATATTTAGACACATACTTGCTCATTTGTTTATTTATTTTACAGTTTCTTCTAGATTTTTCAAAGTTGAAAAGCTATGCATAACGCATTGGTTGTTTTACCGCACTGCTTAGCATTCCATTCATGCAGGCAGACGGTGTTCTTAGGTTTGGAAATATAAATCCCAGGAGGAGTAAGCTGAAGAACATTTTATGCATCACTCATTCTATTATGAGCCCTCTGCTGTTCCATCTCTCTACAAGGTAAGAGATTTATTGTGAGTTGGCGTCAGGCAATAAAATATGACGTATGCTAATGGCTCTTACTTCAAAGTGTATGTTTTTGGAACTTATAATGGAGAGTATAGAAATCGTTTTATAAGCAAAAGAATAATTGGAACAATTTAAGTTACTCACACACGCTCTAGCACATTCATCTGTCCCCAGGTAGCATTTGGTTGTTCTACCCTGGGACTCACATTCTATAGTATTGTCTTCCTCATGTGAACTGAGGTGGTAAATTGGTCATTTATATAATGAATCTGAGCGGACTATATGATTAAGGGAAATAATTCAGGTCTCAATATAGAAAATTACCACATTACCAGTTTGCGATGTCTAGGGGTAGATATAATTTGAGTTTTAATATTTTGTGGGATCAAAAATTAATTATAAGAAAGTTAAAATATAAAATGCTAGCAAGTTGATGGTAATGTATAGAATTACCTTAATACTATTTTTTTCTTCTTGCTGGTCAATGGCAAATTCTTATTCTTTTTTTCCTTTTCCTAAATTTTCAGACTGGCTGAAGCAACGGCAACAATTGTTTCCAATTTGTACTCTAATTTTGGATTATCTAGTTAATATCCTGACTCTGATTATCTTGCAAGACTGTTAGAAGGCTGCTACTACATTATTAATAAAATAACAGGGAAAATGCAACATTCTGGAGGTCCCACCTGATGGGGTAAGTTTTATCATGTCCCATAAGATGAGATTACATTTGATTTTATTTATCGTTATCCCAGCCCCAAGAAAGTTTTCACTAATCGATTTGACACAGAAACCTATAATATAAAGCTTCATATCCTTTATCTAAACTGTGACCAATTTAAGGCATGTAAAGCCAAGCTATTTAATGCATTTTATTTATGTATTCATTACATTATTTTTACTACCTTTCATCCTTTCCAGCTTAGGAAATTATGACTCATTAAGCATACAACATATTTAAATAAAAAATAAATTATGTACATTATAATTCTTATGGAGGGGGGGAAGGCATACTGTTGCTAACTTTTGATGAGTTTTAACTTTTGATATGTGAATTCTTAAGTGTGGGGGAAAAAAAAAGACCATGGCATACTTCGAAGTGTTCAAAAGTTAAAATGGGAAATAAAGATTTCATGGTAAGTAGCAGCCTTGTGTTTACTGTTGTAATAATGTTTACATCTGCATGAGAAGAAAAAAGTACAAAAGGCAATGAAGAGGTAATGGAGGAGCTGGACGTACAGGAAGTTGCAGGTACCTGCAGATATAATCTGAAGATACTTAGATATCTAGCCCTCTTTATGTGGTACATATACTGTAATCGATCACAGTGGTCAGGTGCTCTCTTCGTGGTCCAAAAATATTAGTGTTTTCAACATCATTTGTGTTTATACCAAAATCTCCCACGATATATATAAAATATATCTTATCCAAGTTTTAGTAACATGAGAGGTGTTCTCTCTTCGGGTTAAGCACGTCGTATGACTTTTCCTAAAATGTTGCAAAGGCGAATAGATCTGTTAGATAATTTGTGGTCTGTAAGATATGAATTTCTGAGGGGAAAAGTGGCAGTTGAAGCATAAATATCTTCAGTGTGGAAATAGTCTCGGGTGCCACACTTGGCCAGCACAATGTCTTGGACTCGTTATGGTTTTCGGTGCCTGCTTTGCTGTCGTCCTTCAGGTTCTTTCTGGGTCCATCTCTCCTCTGTTTCCCTTTGACTTTCTATTGTATTCCAGTTGGCGGCTGAACAAAAACAGAGCAGTAAGATTTCCTGACTACATTTTCTCAGGGCCATCCACTGGGAGTTAAGCTGACTAACGCTGTGAAAGCCCAGCCCATTTCGATAACAGCAGGCATGGCAGGTAAAAGCATCTCTGGATTAAAGTACACACTTTACTTCTTCAGGTTCTTGGTCTAATTCCTCTTGTTTGCCAGTTGTGGGGGAGGGGAGGAGAAATGAAAATAGGTTGGGGACCGAATGCCTGGGGTATTTAATCAAATGCCCAGTGATTCTTGATTACAGGATGCAGAAATTTCACTTTTAGGGGATTAACTATGGTGAATTTCGTCAACTCAAATGCATGTCTCCTTCTACCCAGCATGTGATTGGGCTACTTCTCACCACTGCCTAAGGATAATGCGGTGGAAGAATTCCAAATACTTTTAATAATAACTCCTGGGTTGGCAGAAACTGAATATGCAGGGTGAAAATTCCCATTAAATATAGGTATTTGTAGAGTTACTCATACATTACGTTTTACATGTTATTGTTTGCTTCCATTAAAACAAGACGTTGAGAATTGATTTTACTGTGTTCTGTTAATTTGATTACTGTTTTCTAAGTGGCAAATGTAAACCCCCTTAAATAGTTTATGAAGCTCACTTAATCAAGCACATGTCCTAAAACGCATCACTATATTGATCCTTGACCTTTTGACCTGTCACTTTGCCACTTCAGATGCCTTTATCTCATGTCCTCGTGATACAAGCTTAGGGAGCAGAAAGAGTGAGGAAAGGCTTTAGCCCTTCTTCGTGAGCTGCCGGCAGCTGTGGAATTGTCTCCTGAAGGGAACTTCCTTGCAAATGGTAAAATTGGGATGAATAATATCAGTTTGCATTCATACTGAATATATTTTTAGGAAGCTTAAGAGGACTACACAAGAGTCACCTAGGAGAGAGAAATGTAATATACATTTAAGGTGGGAAAACTAAATTGCTGAGACATGTCAGATTATTGTGGTAATACCATAGCTCATTTTATGAATAAATCTAAATATTCCTCAGCTGGTGCCTGCATGCCATTTATCGAAATAAATTTTACAGAGCCTCTCCTTCACTGGAGTTAGAGCGTTAACATTCACCATCTTATCCTGGAGTATAACCTTAGTTTGTTTTGTTTTATGTTCTATGACCATTCTATGAATATATTTAATCAGGCTGGATCAAAAGTTAACAGAGGGTGTAGTGGAAAAATAAAATAACTTTTTCTTTGAGGTTTTAGCAAAAAAATAAAAAATAAATAGGGGAATGATTCAAGGCTCAATGGTGCCTATGCCATGGCTGTACCAGAAATCTTTTCAAGAGCATGAGGTTCCTTCCGTTTTAGCCGTCAGACAAATTCTTTAACCATGTTGGCCTCAATGTGACAAAGACATTTTATTTATAAATGTCCCTTGGGGTCCATGAGGAATCTGTGATACACATTTATTTTCTAAAGGAAGGTTCAGGATCAATAAGTTCAAAATATTTCAGAGTTACCATGTACTCCTCTGCTTGACTAACTCAGCCCTGCCGTGAACCTATCCAGATTCTTTCCGATGCTCGACATGGCTGACTCCACTGCACCTTAGTGTACTAAATGAAATAAAAAACGCTGGGGCATAAAATGCCTTTCTTTTGTTTTTGGTTCCAATAATTGCATGAAATGTGAATCACAGCATAATAGTCACGGAGAGGAGACAGGGAAAAAGGCGATTACCCTCCAGCCATGGTCCTTAGGAGTCCACTATGCTATCTGCTAATAAGCTAAAAGGAAGGATGCCCCATTTTTCTCTGTAACGTGACACAAAAAAACAAACAGCAAAACAAAAACAAAAAAACAGTTCCCTTAAACAGATTCATTTTAAAATAGGAAGGTCAATGGACCACGATCCAGGCGCACACATTTTCATAGGCATAGGCTTGGACACATTTTTCAGGTAAGTGATAAAAATGATGGAAAGTGGAGAACAGTGACTAAGAGTCAGGGGCTGGGACAGGCGAGTGACCTTAAGCAGGTAGCAAAGCAAGTCCATTTTTAATTTGAAGCTTTGGGCTTTAGCTTAGAAATTCAGTGACATTTTACATCCTGTTCCATTATGTCTCATGATGGTTTCATTATGTAAAAAAAAGAAAGGTTTAACTTGCTTAGTTGTGAGTAAATCTGCTGTGTGATGGAGTTGCCATGTTTCCTGTTTCCTGGTTTATTTGGAGAACATTTATTGAGCTTCTACTGTGTGGCAGGCACTATTTCCCCCGCCCCGCCTCCCCCCACAAATCCCTCAGATATCCGAGACACTCCTATTCAAGTTTGAAAAGCACAGAACAGAGATATACAAGGTTGGGAGACAGATGAATTGACAGTAGATAGGTAAATTGTAAATTACCATAATTGCCTGATACTCTGCACATTTTTCTGCCTAGGGATTTTATATGATCGTCGTCAGAATCTAGCAGAAAGCCTCCTCAAAGCTATAAATTTTTGTTGAACTTAAAGCAGTTTCTTTGAGCTTTCATACATTTTCATTGTTCCTATTTTTCATTTCTACTTTTGACAATGCTTTACCCTTAAAGTTTATATCCTTTTATTTTTCGTCTTTCTCTCCTTGTTTCCTGTCTTTTCAGAAGATGAACTGCTACATTTTTTTCCTTCTTAGTCCAATTTTTGTGCATTTGGTTCATATTAAAGCAGGAGATTAAAAATTCTGGATAGGGAGCTCTGGCTTCTTTGCTATAAGGTCTAAAATATTGATGTGCGCATGTGTGTTATAATAAATACTTTGCAGCTTAAGTTTAGTGTGTGGGGTTAAACTGGAATTGGTTTGATTGGTTTGAATTCTTACACTACCACTCACTAGCTGTATAAAAATCAGTTTCTAAATCTACTTCTTCAGTTATTGAGGATAGTAACATACCTACCCCGTTGTTACTGTAAAGATTAAATGCAACAACGTGTATAAAGCTCAGTGCTTGGCATGTGGTAAGAGGTCAAACATGTTAGCGATGACCTCTAGTATTACTATTACTTATTGGGTATGTGAACAGATACACACATACCTCATATACATAAGTTTTCACTATAATGCATTATTCAAAGAATGATAGGTAATCTTAGGCAAAATTGTGAAAAGGCAACATCTGCCTTCACCATCGCCAGCTTTTATTGAGAAGGTACATTCTCTCCTCAGTCCCTGTAAATGCCCAGTGCCTTGCGTCTCTTCTTCCTTTTACTGGTAAAACCTCCTTTCAAGTACAGACCTGAAATTTATCCACACAAAGGTCTAGATGACTGGGCACATTTGAGGTGTTGCCCTTGTAAAGGTCACTGACCTCTTATCAAAGATCAAACACCGGGCTGATGAGATTGCAGGCATCCGGCAGTGGTTAACTAGGCCAAGTGATGAGGTTAGTTCTGCCGCTGAAGGTGCCTGCTGGGGCTCTCTTGGGGGTTGTCTGACATCCTCAAAGGCTGCCTCCCTCTCTAAGCCTGGGGCCATTTAGAAATATCTGTCAGTTTTTTCATTTTTTTTTTTCATTTGTGTCTGTGAGATGTTGAATCTAGTTATGCCTTCGACCACAAGCGATAGTCCTTTGAACATTTTTTCCTAATACTCTTCTTTATTTTTGGATATACATCCTTTTTTTTTTTTCTACCCACATCTCATCCATATATTCATTCTTGGTTGCCCATTGTATTTCTTTCACAAAGGCCTATATTCATGATTTAAAGTTTTTCATACATTAAACTATTATGCTGAGATAGTCTCTTGACATATTCTTCCTTTTTTATGTAACTCTGCTTCACCTGTATTTTCTGTACATAGATTTGAGGGTTTGAAGAACTGGGTCCAAGTCGAAGGTATGCCTTCACCAGCAACATATCTGTGGAAAACCATTTAAATTTCTCAACCTGGGTTTGTCAATGGCATAGAAATAAAGGAATCTATTTGCCGTGGTGTTGTAAGAATCAAATCAGGACGTTTTGTACACTCAAAAGTGATTCGAAGCTTTTTGGTCTTTTGATCCATCATAACTACCCCTCAAGCAATTTTTTTTTTAAGGGAGGGCATGAAAAGACACATTATGTTTAGTAGTTTGTGAAAGAAGACATGGGATTATCTCTCTTTGACATTTTCTCTCATTACCTGAAATAGCTATTGTGTGCATTCTTGTGATATCGCTGTCAGTTGCCTCTGCCAGCATGATATCATTTAATGCAGAGACAGCCCAGAGGAGAATATTCTCGGATGAAAATCTAAGAGGAGAAATGTTCACATAGGGGCCCTTATGGATGGGCTAGATCCACAAATGATTTCTCAAAGGTTGCATATCATTCTGTAGAGCATTTGTATGTGGGATGGGCAGACTGAGCTGCCCCCAGGTCACTCAGAAGTTTGGAGTCAGACAATTAGGCATAACATTTTCAAGATCCTCTACACAAGTGAGAAAAATAAAATAAAATAAAAGCTAATATTTTTCAAGTACCTACTACGGCAAGGCACTTTTAATAATTATAGCTGCTAACTTTGGGATTTTGCTAGACACCAAATAGGCACTGAGCTGCAGACTTTACCCGGTTATTTAATCCATACAACGACTTTGTAACACTTCATTATTATGTCCATTGCACAGGTGGGGAAACTGAGGGCTCTGTGACACCAAAGCCAATGTTTTTTATGGATTTTCCCAAGGATCTTGAGATATAGATAGTCTTATATGCATTTTGCAGATGAGGCAATGGGACACAGAAGCTTTTAGTAACTTGTCCCCATAGCTCTATGTGGAAGAGCTGGAACCCCATCCAGGTCGGGCTTGACTTTTCTCAGGAGGCCACACTGCTTTTCTAAGTGCTCTAATTCTCAAAAAGGACCTCCCCCACACCCTCACTTACAATCTGTTGTGGGTTGATATTTTTGTAAAATAGACTAAAATTGAATTACTGGAAAAATAAAATTTGAAAAGATATCCAAAATACAAACTCAATTCTTTATATTAGATTCAACAAACATAAAATTACTCTGTCACATTGCTGTAGACTCTTTTGAACCCTTGCTCACAATTTCTGGCTTATTTTCTCCTGAACGACTAACAAAACTGCTTGCAC